TGAGATTCTTCTTGTTGTGATACTCATGTGTGGGTAAGAGAGTGTGTGGTTCTAAAAACCAAATAATACCCAAACCGGCGATGGTGGGGTGGGGAATTCTGGGAGTTGAAGTCCCCACATCTTCAAGTCCCCAAGGTTGAGCAACACTGAGCTAAGTCATAAACAGTGCTTTGCAAGCCAGAATAGCTGGAGTCACACAACATGTTAAGCCACCATTGAACAAAGGACATTGTAGCTTAGTGTGCTACCTGAACTCAGGGGTTGTAGGAAGCCATCTTAGACCAAACAAACCAGGAATGAGGGATCGTTTCCAGCTCTAGACTGAACTTGAGGTTTCTGATTTGCAAGTTCATGCTCCAACCCAGAGCTGTGGCCAGGAGTATCCATGGGAGAGAAGGGGTCAAAGATGGCAGCCACGCACACATGATCAAGCCCTGCCCCTTTTTTATGCGCATCACAACTACTGATTTTTATTTTTGGTGATGGTGCTACAGCAGGGAAATATAGCTCAAGGGGTTGCCAATATGTGGCCCCAGTATCCCTGGAAAGAGCCTGTAGGATCTTTACTAATACACTATAATTTTTCATGTGAAAGAAAGGAAAATATATTTAATGGGCAAGGAGTAATCCTATTAGCAACATGCAGGTAATTAAACTGAAATGAATTGAAATGAAATCCTATTTATTGGCTTTCCCAGCCCCGCCCACTTCTGTGTTCTGGCCACACCTACCTTGGGGACTCCAAAGCTCAATATGTCACTGAAAAGTTAGGAGTGGCCCTTAGGTCAAGCAATGTTACACCATGATAAAATCCCAGTTGCTGGGTTTTATAGAGAGAAGATGTGTGCCTAAAAAAGGAGTCATTTTATAGTAGATTTCAATGCTGTGTTGAGACCCAGATCCAGTGTCCAACCCCCTACTTGTTTCAAGAAGAAGAAGCAGCAGCTAAACCCAGGTTAACTCCTGGCCTAGATCTGTAGAAAGGAGGATAAAAAAGACGGTGCTTATCTTCTTTCAGAACTAATGCGAGGGCCTTCTTCATTCCAGTTTTCCAGCCCACCAATTAAATACAACCCAATTGCAATGAGTAGCAAATGCTGCCATTAGCTTGGAGCTTGGCAAGGCAAAACACAGCCTCCTTCAGTTTGCATACTGCAAACAGGAGTTTCCTGCCATAGCAAGCAATCAAATTTAGAGGTCTGGATTTGAATTAAAATTTGCCAGTGTCAAGATTACCTTTTGGTGAACAACACCCAGCTCCCACCTGGACATCAGCTAGTCCATGGAAATTAGCTCATTAGAACTCATTGCTGCTACTAACAAGGCTTAAAAACAGAAAGCAAACCTAAACATCCAACAAGGGTGGGGGGAAAGAACTTCACATGCCACCATCACCACCTTGGTGGAAGTATGGCAGATGACCTGGACTGGAAGCGATTCATACAAGGCTTTCTCTTTAGCTGTCTGGAGGAGTGCTCCTGTGAGGATGAGATAGCAGTATAAGAAAAAAAATTGCTCAAGGATAAGTGATCTACAAAGGAGGAAGGTCTTGCTCACAAGTTGCCCATCTGGTCAGTCAGCTGCCAACAGCTAGCATCTGCATGAAGATGCAAGTTCTAGAGCAGTGTTTCTCAACCTCAGCAACTTTAAGATGCGTGGACTTCAACGCCCAGAATTCCCAGCATGCTGGCTGGGATCTAGGAAGTTGTGGTTGAGACACTGTTCTAGAGGGCTGAGCATACAAGCTTTCCGTTTGGAGCAGACTAGCATGAGAACATCTGTGACATGATCCCTGTTTGTATCTCTTTGTTTTAGCCTTGGACTCTAACCTGGTTCACTTGCCTTATCTGTTGCTTTATCCTCTTTATATTGGACTGCATGTTCCTCTAACTCAGTGTTTTTCAAACTTGGCAACTTTAAGATGTGTGGGCTTCAACTTCTAGGATTCCCCATCCTGCATGCATAAAAAACATTGCTCTAACCAACTTGCTTTTCACAGCTTTCTTAGATATGGTGCCCTTCCAATGGGTTGGCTAATCTATCCATCAGCCAATGACCATGTCTGAGAGGCAAAGTATAGCAAAGATAGAGAACTTTGGGTGGTAACCACCCAACAGAGTCTAATTCAGACAGACATTTTCTGCTGTCATCTGCAGTCTTTGACGATGCCAGAGGTTAAACATGGAATGTTCTGCACACGGGTCATAATATGCTCTTGCTCTGGTTGGGTCCATTGTTCGGGGGAGGGAGTTATGGAAGGGTCAAGAGTGCCTAACTCTGCATTGTGTGTCCAGTTTTTGGCCTGGCAAGCTATGGCAAGTCCTTTTTAAAAAAAAAATTGTAGGAAGACCCCGGTATCAAGGTGAGAATGAGGAATCCCAGCCCAATCCAACTTCTGGCATAATACATCATGCTAAGCCATCTTGTGGCTTAGATTTATGTCTGTGAGCCATACTACTTAGGCTTGTTCCACAAATCACGACTTCATGCAATGTATGAACAAAGGTCTTTCCATCTTTTTTTTCTTTATTTTTTATTGTTTTATTGTAATGTCTATTTGATTGTTGTGAGCTGCTCAGGTTGAGAATCAGGTGGCATACAAGTTTAATAGATGATGATGATGATGAAGAAGAAGAAGAAGAAGAAGAAGAAGAAGAAGAAGAAGAAGAA